GAGAAATGGTCGAGTGGTTAAGAGCACTGGCTGATACTCCAGAGGACCCAGCTTCGTTTCCCAGAATGCATATAGTGGCACACAACCGTCTTTACTTCCAATTCCAGAACATTTGACAGCCTCTTCTGGTCTCTGCAGACACCAGGCATGAGCACAAATATACATGCAGGCAAAACACTCATACACATAATATTTTTAAAAATCTATTAAAAAATCAAAACTTGTAATTATGGAACTCAAAATTTTCAGTATTTTACACTCTTATTGGTTTTGTTTAATATATCCCAAAGCATTTAGACAGCTTTTAAAAATGCAAATTATATCTCATGTGGCCTGCTTAGACAATCTATCTTTATATCGATCCATTAACAATCAATACATCTTTATTAACTAAGGTTAAAGGATGTTTTTAAATGTTGAGCATGTTGCTCATATGTAACTGAAACATTATAGACTTACCATTTGGGCCACCATGCCATGGGCCTAGCTCTTTTAAGATGGTTGTTTTTAGATGCCTCAATGCAGGGACATTTTCTTTATATCTCTTAGCTCATCTACCTTTCGTTCCGACTGTCCATGTGTGGGTGCCTAGAACACAGAGTCACATCTATGGTCATAGGAAAGAGCCCTGTCTTCCAACGTCTCAAGTCATTGTTTACAGTTTATGACTGTAAATTCCCCAAATATGAGAGCCAACAGAGCCTAGGGGTGCGACAGCACTCATATACTCTAAAAGCTTTGAAACAGGATTTTCTCAGCCTTGTAAAAGCAAAAACAAAACAAAACAAGTATCCTTTCTTAAAATAAGTGCTAGTAATGAAAGCATATTTTCCTGTCATAGACAAAAGCTAGAGAACACACAAAATCAGATTTTGAAATGGTTACCTCACAGTGATTTAAATAAAATGAGACCAAAATGCATCACGGAATACCTCCTCCCAAGGCTGACTGCGTGTCTTTGTTATTGAGACTTAAAAAGTACATAATGTACTTGTTAGGGAATGCTAACAAAACTAGAGATTAAAAACTCATCAGATCAAAATTTCAGGTTATTTTTCTACTTGGTGGGGGTTTCTTTGCATGATGTGGTCGGTTTACCCTCTAATGTAATTTTCTTTATGCTAAATTCACTGTCATAAGCTTGGGAAACCAAAGCTATCTTTTTTTAAATTTTTTATTTAACTTATTAATTACACTTTATTCATTTTGTATCCCCCCATAAGCCCCTCCCTCCTCCCCTCCCGGTCCCACCCTCCACCCCCTTTCTGCATGCATGCCCCTCCCCAAGTCCACTGATAGGGGAGGTCCTCCTCTCCTTCTTTCTGATCTTAGTCTATCAGTTCTCATCAGAAATGGCTGCATTGTCAGGGTTCTAGGTTATCTCCATGAGTAGTCCTTGGTTGGAGTATGAGTCTCTGGGAGGTTCCCTGTGTTCAAATTTTTTTGTTCTGTTGCTCTCCTTGTGGAGTTCCTGTCCTCTCCAGCTCTTACTATTTCCCACTTCTTACATAAAATTCCATTCACTCTGCCCGACAGTTGGCCATCAGGATCAGCATCTGCTTTGACAGTCTGCACGGCAGAGACTTTCAGAGGCCCTCTGTGGCAAGTTCCTAGGTTGTCTCCTGTTTTCTTCTTCTGGCTTTCAGAGGCCCTCGAGAGGCCCTCTGTAGCAGGTTCCTAGGTTGTTTCCTGTTTTCTTCTTCTTCTGATGTCCATCCTCTTTGCCTTTCAGGATGGGGATTGAACATTTTAGTTAGGATCCTCTCTTTTGCTTAGCTTGTTTAGATGTACAGATTTTAGTGGGTTTATTCTATGTTGTATGTTTATATGAGTGAGTATATACCATGTGTCTTTTTGCTTCTGGGACAACTCACTCAAGAAGATCTTTTCCAGGTCCCACCATTTACCTGCAAATTTCATGATTTCCTTATTTTTCATTGCTGAGTAATACTCCATTGTATAGATGTACCACAGTTTCTGCATCCATTCTTCAGTTGAGGGGCATCTGGGCTGTTTCCAGCTTCTGGCTTGTAGAAAAATGAAAATAGATCCATACTTATCACCCTGCACAAAACTGAAGTCCAAGTGGATCAAAGACCTCAACATAAAACCAGACACATTAAATCTGCTAGAAAAAAAAAAGTAGGGAATACCCTAGAACTCATTGGTACAGGAGAAAACTTCCTGAACAGAACACCAACAGCACAGGCTCTAAGAGCAACAATCAATAGATGGGACCTCATGAAACTGAAAAGCTTCTGTAAAGCAAAGGACACCGTCATCAAAACAAAGCGACTGCCTACAGATTGGGAAAGAATCATCACCAACCCTTTATCTGACAGAGGACTCATCCAGTATATATAAAGAACTAAAGAAGCTGAAAAGCAGCAAACCAAGTAATCCACTTAAAAAATGGGGAACAGAGCTAAAGAGAGAATTCTTTGTAGAGGAATATCGAATGGCAGAGAAGCACTTAAAGAAATGCTTAACCTCATTAGCCATTAGGGAAATGCAAATCAAAACAACCCTGAGATTTCACCTTACACCCATCAGAATGGCCAAGATGAAAAACTCAAGGGACAACACATGCTGGAGAGGTTGTGGAGAAAGGGGAACCCTTCTCCACTGCTGGTGGGAATGTAAACTGGTACAACCACTCTAGAAATCAATCTGGCGCTTTCTCAGACAACTAGGAATAGCGCTTCCTCAAGATCCAGCCATACCACTCCTAGGCATATACCCAAAAGAGGCTCAAGTACACAAAAAGGACATTTGCTCAGCCATGTTTGTACCAAAGCTATCTTTTGATGTTTGAGGCAATAGTGAAGATTCAAGATCCCTGTGCCTCTAAGCTTTTTTGTATTTATCTGCAAGGATACAGTGAGAAATTAGGGGTTCATCAGAGCTTCTCTGAGTCCACCATTGGCACTTGTCAGGCTTTGTGCACACAGCAAGTTGCTTGATTTTTCTAAACTTGCTTTTTCCTTCATAAACTAGTTTCAAATGCTGCTCTGCCTTAATCCTAAGGCTGTGGACCAGGGCAAGTAGAGTCAAAATAAGCCTACTACCCTATAAAGGGCTTTAAGGGCTTCAGGTGGGCCTTTTACAATTCCCATTTTGCAGGTGGGAAAAGACAGAAAGAGGTTACCCAGCCCATTAAGGGTCACAGAACTAGCCAATAAGAGATCTGGTTTCATGAAACATAGTCATAGTGTTTTTGAGCACTACGCAGCTGACTTTTGGGGGCACCGGTGGAGGAGGGGCTGCCTATGATTTTAGGATATTCAGCAACCTCTCTGCCTCTCCCTGTTAGATGTCAGTCACCACCCACTCCCAGTTGTCGACAACCGAGACTGTCTCAGAGTCTAGCCAGATGTCTGACTCCGGAGCCAACTGTCCTAACCACTGTCACGATGGCACAGATTGGAGTTAGCTGCTCTTTTAACTACTCTGTGTCATAGTAATTTGCAGGAACAAAAAGGTAACTGATTTTGTCTTCATAACATGGTGTGTTCGTTCTCAGCAGAACTGTTTGCATAGAAGCAGAACACCACTGCCCTCAGTGGGCCCTGTGTTAGACTCAAGATCTGTGCTCTCCTGTCCCCTCTAAATCTATAACCATTCCTTAATCCCTAATGGGCCACAAACAAGTCTCTTTTGTACACCCCTTCCCATCTAGTAACTGGAAACTGGAGACAGAAAGAAAAATCACATGGATTTATATAACATATTGTGTCTTCATAACCATTATATTTTTATTATTTGTTCATATTTTTTTTTTGAGACAAGGACTTACTATGCAGCTCAGGCTAGCTGGCACACACCGTAGGGCCTGGCCTGGCCTAAAACACATTTTCCCACCCTCGCCCAGCCCATTGCCTCATTTGATCATCATGGAAAGCCCTGGAGGTTTATACCAGCTGTAATTGTCCCATGTTTAGATGGCATCTAGGATCTGTAACCCTTCTTCCTTGCCTGTTTCCTCAACTCTGGTACTCTCACTGTAAAACTTGATGTAGGAGCTCAGTAGGAAGTTGATATGGAAACTCAGCAGGTGTGTTCTTTCCAGCACCATATGAAGAAAAACGTCCTCTGAAGCATTCTCCATAAAGCTGAGGCCGCCTGCACGGCGAGGCTCTGGCTTTTTCCTTTGCTTATAACAGGGATCATTAACTATCCGTCCCTTTCACTGCAGCTGGGACTTAGGCACCAACTTCCTTGATGCCTTTGATACTTCTCAAAGAATGGGATGAGTTTACTTCTGTTCGGCCTAGTGCGAGCTTCCCAAACCGCCCGCCCACCCAGGTCATCATTCTCCCTATGTTTGCCTCTCTTCCTGATGTTAACACAGTTACCAGTTTATTGTCACCTCTGACAGTAAACATTTGTGGTCAACTATCATTGCTGTTCCTTTATTATCAGAACTAATGGAAAGTTACAGGCATTTGTTTGATCTGGGCCTTGCTGCTAGTTTGAAAATATTTTACCCATAAGCCTGTATGAATTCGTTTTATTTTAAACACTAGGTTAAAATAAATTGCTACTGGCAGACACAAGAAGTATAATTGCATACGATTAAAAGAATCAGCATGACCTGAGAAGATGGGGTACTTACCAACGGTGTTAAGGACGTAGAATTGCCTGGTAATCTTTTAGACTCAGAATTCTGCTGGCAGAATGTCTAAAAAAGTAGTTTGGAGCAATGGGAACATGAACTGGATTACTTCATGGATATATAACTTTACTGTCAATTAAAACTCTATTTTTTCTTTAAAGTGGTTATGAGTCATTCTAATTACTTGATGGTTCATTTAAAAAAGATTGATTGGTTCTTGCTGTAAAATGCAATGTCTGCCTCGCCTGAGCCACTTCTTTTGAGATTGGGTTGTATCCTGTTGACCAGATTTGCCCCCTTGCTCAGATTTGACATGCAGTCATTCCATCATGTTCTGTCATTAAAGTATTGTGTATGTGTGTGTGTGTGTGTTTTTTTTTTCCAGGTGGCCTTTCTGAAGATATAACTGTTGAAGGTGAGGCTTTCTGGTCTAGCAGCAGACAGCTGTTCAGCACAGAGCACAGAGAAAGCCAGCAGTCGGTTCTGTGAGCACAGCCTGCCAAGATGAACAAGAACCAGAGCTGCATTTATTCTCTGAGAGTTGACTTTGGATTCCTGCAAATCCAAGGCTATAAGGAAAGTTGTAGTAGCGGGTTTTAGGCAGGTTAAGTATAGAAGTTGCACCTCTACTCCCCACAGAGAGGAATATTCAAATCTGTGCTGTGTCAGCACCACCTGGAAGCGTATTAGTTAATGGAAAGCCATCTGTCCTGTTTGAACACAGCGAGGGACTTCATTGGGGAGCGGAATGCTAACAGCTCTCAATCCCAGGAAGTAAACTTTTAAGGAGCTCTGGGTTTGTTTAAAGCACATTTTTAAAAGCTAAAATGTACAAGTTTTTATATCTTATTCAAAGAAGATGCTTGCTGGTGTTTGTCGAATGAGTCATTATCCAATTAAAGTTTTCCTGAGGGTGTAAAACCACATGTGTTCTTTTTGTTCTTTATTTCCTTCACCACATGCTATTGCAAATTAATAAATGTGCAACACTGGCATCTTAGTATAGAGTTATCTCAATTCTTATGTGTCCAAACAAGAAAACAATGAGAATGACAAGAGCTGAGCCTGATCCTGCAGAGCCCAGGTCAGCTCCTAATTTGATGCAGAAGGCTTAAGACTCTCCTAGAAGCACACAGCTCAATTTAAGAGCCAGAACTCTCACTGGCGATACAGCCGGGTTGACTGATCTCCCTTGCTAGAGATGCATTCATGTTTTCTCCTCCCTGCTGCACATTCAGGAGGACAGTCCAAGGGTCTGAAGCCATCTCTGTGGTGGATCTCACCTGATGGTGTTGACCCTAGGTTGCAGGCCACTTAATGATACCTCATAATTCCAAACAACTAAATTTCCCCTTATCCCCCAGCATTCTTAGTTGTGGATATCACTTGCCATCCTGATTCGGATGCTCTTCCTTGGAGTTTACACAGCAGCACAGTGGGATTGGGAATTAGAGCAGAATTCACTGTCCTGACTTTGTAGCCAGTGGACTGACATCTGCTGTATCCTGCAGGGTCACTTTATTAAGCACAGTTTGAAACACTGATACTCTTGGTGTTATGTCCAAGACTCCAGCCACAGAGAATTAGTTTGGCTTCACTTAAGCTACTAGGTTCCCAACACCATGCTGACTTTTCATGCTTTTGATTTCTGGCAGTAGAGAGCAAGATTCCTTGACCTCAGTTCTTTGTGCAGAGGTGATCCTTTGCTATGGGAGAATGCCTTGTGCCTACAGGCTCAGTAGCCTTTCTGACCACTGCCTACGGGAGCAGGCAGTATGTTTTCCTCTTCCCAGTTCTGCTGTCCAAACTGTGGACCCATGATTGAAAGAACTGACAGTTTTTAAGAGCCATGGCTACAAGAGAGGTGGCCTGAGAAACAAGACTTGGTGACTTGCTAGGTTATATATCAGCGATCATGAGTCTGCAAGATTCTGAGTCTCTGGCATGTAGCCTTCACTAAAGGTATCTTTGTGTTTGACTGTTAGAGTTCAGCTAGTATTAATCAAATGGTGACGATTGGGACAAGCCTGACGTCCTGACATTCAACCTGTGCTTACAAAGAATTTTTCTCCACAGTAGTTCTGCTCCGCTGGAGGAAAAAAAAAAAAAAAAAGAAGCTGTGAGCACTCTGATTATTTTGATGGTTAAGGTGCTCATCTTTGAAAGACATAACTGACACATTGGGAGGTGACTCAGTTGGTAAAATGCTGCAGCGTAAGGGTGAGAACCCAAGTCTGATCCCTAGCATGCCTGTGAAAACATGGGTGTGATGGCATATGCCTATAGTCCCAGTGCTGGGGGTGAAGAGGGTGGATCTCTGGGGCTTTGTGAACTCTGACCTAATCTGTACACCCCAAGTCCCAGTGAAAGACCCTATCACTAAAAACAAGGTAACTCCTGAGGAACAGTAACTGAAGTTGGTCTCTGGCCTACACATACATACACATATATGTATATACATACATACACATACACACCTGCACAAACATGAGCATGCACTGGCAGAAACATGCACGCATACACAAAGACATCCATAACGTGTGCTCAGAAACAGAGAACAAGCTAGAATAGTATTCTGATTCAGTAACCTTGTATTGGTAAGTTATTTGGAGTCAAATGTAGTATTTTGTCCATCAGTGGTCTGAAGAAGTATTAAGTCAGCCTCATTTCTGGTGATCTACTGTGGTCTGGTAGGGGTGAGGGAACCGGGAACAATGACTATGAGAGAGGACAGGTAGTCTGTTACTGTGCTTTTAATTCCTTCTGCCATACAACCTAAGATCTCAAGCTTATCAGTCTTCAGTGATTCTTGCATGGTTGGGAAAGAAGAGTTAGCACGGCTGACCTGTTGTTCAGCAGAATCCTACTCAGTGGGAAGGTTTGAATATCTAAGGATCCTTTGGAACCAGACAGGATGGAAGAAAAGAAAATAGAACCTTCCTCAATGTAGTTATCTGTCTAAATAGAAGAGCCTTGCTCTGTGTGTGTATGACAATGGGCAAAGACAGTCACACACAGAAAGCTACCAATTAAAAAAAAAAAGATTTAAGTTCAGTTCAGCTATGCTAGGAGGACTGGGAAGAATTGAAACAGACTGTATAGTGAACACTGATGACCCTAGGAACTTATTCCATAATCACTTCCTGTGTGTCTTATACCTATATATTTACAATCCCAGAATCTACTCAGCTATACCCCTAGGTAACAGAACCACAAAATTTTGGCACACCATTAAGAGGACTAAAGGCATGGTAAAGCAAGTTTCCATTTTTCTAATCTAAGAAAAACTGCTATAAATAAGCAATTCTGTTAACTTGTTCTCACATAGTATAAAATTACAAGAGATAAACTTTTATTGGCTGACTATCAGTTTGGCCAATCGATGCATGTTTATTAACTACTTTGTCTCAAACATGGTCATAGGTTCTGCAGATGAGACAATGGTTTTGGCCCCATACAGTTCACTGTTCTCATAGAGGTGCAGACAAAAAGCATGATGTTATATTATAAAATACTGTTAGCATTTCAGAAGATAATAAAGCTGAGCAAAGGAAGTAAGGTAAAAGACACCGTTGTAGACAGGAAAATCTAAGTCGAGCTCAAAGTGTTATAAATTTTAGGCCCATATTTAACCAAAATACTTAAGTTCTCCCAGGGGCTATAATCCCATGACCCTGAAAGCTGAGACAGGAGCACTGCAAGTTCAAGGCCAGCATGGGCTATGCAGTGAGACCCTGTCTCGAGGCAGCTCTATCAAGGGTGACTTTGGAGATGAGTTAGAAAATGGATAGATTGTACACAAACTGCACACAAATTTGACAAAATGTCACTTTGCCAAAAAGTAGCTTGGCTAAATAAGGGTCCACTAATATTAGCAGAACTTGATTCTACCTATTCCAGATAAAGGGCTTGGCTAGAACCAAATAGACTGAACTGACCCTAATTAAGCTTGTTCAGTGCCACTGCAGGAAAAACGCTGACAGTGTTGAACTGTTTTTGCATAGCAGGTAAAGGCACTCCGTTGTCACCTCTGTACATTGTGTGTTTGCATTCTTAATGTAAGTCAAGATATTGGAATCTGCATTATGCTGTAATTTAGGGCTGTAGATTGACTGCCATATCCTAATCTATAGCTAGAATCAAATCACTAGTTGTCTTACAACTAGTCAGGGGAACTAATCTGGGTCAGGGGAAGTTTTTACTAATCCAAAAATTCTATACGCTTCAGATTATATAGACCAGATCACTCAGTATGACTATATGAACAGTTTCTCCATTTCCACCCTGAGATGCTCAAGATGTCATCTTCCAAATCAGCCCATTAGCTCTTGATCTCAGGGGGGAAGTAGGAGAGCCCCATGGAGACTAGCTATTATAAGTGTTCTAGTTTTAAGAATGACAGACACAAACCTGCTTGAAACATTTTAAAATGCACTGCATCTGTGCTATTAACTTCTTTTAAGAGGCTCCATTTCCACGTCGGAATAAAGTAAACCAGCTAGTTCTCAATCTTTAAAAGTTAAAGGGGGTGGGGGGAAGAGCACAATGCCCACAGAGACTGGAGTCTGTTTTGTTTATTCGCAGGATAGAATAAACAGAAGGGAACCAGTACTTGGGAGAAAAGATATCTACGACCTGTAGCTTTTCTACTTGTCCCTCTCTTTGCCCTTCTGTGCAATGCCACTTTAGAAAAATGCTTGCTGTTTATTCTCTTTCCCAGATGAAGGCTGGAGCATTCCCTCACTAGAGACTTTTCTTTTGGAATGGTGACTTAAATATCAAAATTAGGCATCATTAATTGTACATATTCCTTATCCGTATATATTATACTAGGAAAGTATGCTTGTAAACCCACCATGCTTTCTGAAAAACAATTACGCAGTTATAGCATCTCTTCCCTGACCCAGACATTCTGAATAATAAATCCTAGAGAGAGCACTGTAAATACTATAAAGTGATAATACAGTTAAATCTTAGTTGGAGTGTTCTGAATTACTGTAATAATCTCTATTATTTTGTTAAAGACAGGGTCTGGCTAGGTAGCCTCGCCTAGCCTGAAACTTGTGCTTATGTGAGCCTCCAGAGTCCTGGGGTTAGGGGTGCTTAGCACTGGACCGAGCTACAATCGTATCCTAAGGACAGCATGAATAGTGTAAGAGAGGATAAGAAATAAAATTCCAAAGTCTAATCTTTCCAACCTGAGATGTCAGGGAGAAAAGAAAGAGTGACTGGGCACAGACCATCAGGCAAAAGCTGTTGCTTGCTGTTAATCAGAGAGAAAAATTGGGGTGTGTCAAAACCTTGCAAAGAATTCATCAGTGGATTTTAAATGTGAGTTAGAAGTTCCTAGAGGATTCTGTGAGGCAGATTTCCTGTGATAGTAGTTAAAGGCAAATTTAGATCTTCCTCCAGCGTGTGTGTGGATGGATCCCTCTGCTTTATTCCTTCGTTTCCAGGAATTCCTCTAAATAAACAAAGGCTGTCGGTGGGACAGCTGTAGATAACTTTTACATGCACCTAATAGTGTTTCTGAAACACATGTCAACAGGCTTTGGATGGGGTTAGAGTCCGGAGTGAAGACAGGGCAACACCTGAGAAGAAAACATTGAGTTCTGAGTGTGCCCTCCACAGCCACAGGGGTCCAAAGAGTCCCTTCCCAAGAGCAGAAGAGAATGCTCAGAGAACACATCGCTGACTGGCTGAGGCAGGATTGTATGTGAGTCTTAAGAGCTGGTGAGAAAGGCACAGGAAGGCACTACGGGAAAGTGATGTTCTGAAACAGTAAGAAGGTCTGGCAGAATGAGGGAACCGGGATGGGGCAGGCCTCATTAGACTGTGCAAAGTGAATGACAAAGAACAGGGTCTGCTGGGTATTCAGGGACAAACACGACAAGAACAGGAAATATG